CAGCAACCATATTTTGACTAAAATCTTCTTTTTCCATATAATAGGTAAGGTGTTCTTGAATATTCATAAATAGAAATCGAATATCACCAATCATTGGATAAGAAGTAGCAGATAAAAGTTGTGTAGCTTTAAATAAAGGCTCCAATAAAATTAATACGTCCTATATAATTAATTCAATATTAATTAAATATAAATTTATAATTTTTTTTTACGCTTATAATTTTTTTATTAATTAGAAATACCTTAATATAAGTCCATTCAGTTTCAGTTGGATATAGTAAAGATATACTTTTATTATCCACGGCAAGAAGTTTAAGTGCAGAATTCATATCTATTAATTTTTGTAACATTAGATATGTACTATTCCATCGAGTTTCAATATCAAGCTCAGGTTTTAAATATGTTAAGTTTTTTAAAAGGCATAATGCTCTAAGATCATCACTTAAATTAACCGATACTTTGATTTTTGACATTAATTTACGGACTTTATCTATTTCTACACCTAATAGTTGAATTCCTTGTTGTGCTCCTAAATTAAGAATGTGAGCCATGCATCGATAATGTCGAAAATCTAAATTATTAAAATTAGCTTCTAATTCTTATACTAATAAATTGCCACATGCAATCATTGCAGATTCATTATCAGTAGTTAAACTAAGTGTTTTTCGAAAAGATTAAATTCAGGTAAAATTGCTGTTATAGAATTAGATATATTAAGTCCTGAATGTCGAGTTTTAAATGGTATTATATCAAGTAAAAAACTACATAGTTTCCAATTATGATCTATATAATGAATTGTAAGACCTAGAAAAGCTTCCTGTGTTAAAGTTGAAGTCCACATATCAGAAGTAAGAGATATTTTTCCTGGAATTCGACTTATATCATTTTTGATAAGCTGTCGATGTGTATTTAAATAGGTAATTACCATTTCTTTAATATAAATTTGTGACGGGAATTTGTATTTAGGATCAAAAGTACGAATCATTTCTTGAAAATATTTATCTTCCACTATAGAAAATGGTTGTTGATTCATAATTATCCAAGTTACTACAACTTTATTACGATCCTCTTGATCTTTTGGCAAATGCAGACTAATATTATGAAAAGAAAATCTGGTTTGCTTTGTTTCCATAACTTTTTCAACATTAATTCCATGTTTTGTTTCAAGATGCTGTTGAAGACTAGAATTTCCAGTTTTTTTTGAAAAAACATTTCCACAACTTTTACAAACTGGATGATTCGGATGTTGTGATGTATTTTTATCAAAATAAAGCCAGATTTTTGCAACTTTGTAATTTCGTACTTTTTCTGTTGATATAATAGAACTGGTAGTTGAAGATTGTTCATCTATATCATTTTGTTGTATCAGATCTGTATCTTCAATGAAATTGATTGAATTGTCAAAATCATTAACACTTAAAGTAACTTCTTCGGTATATTCTTTTTCGGACATAGTAAAAGTAAATTACGAAAAATACAAAAATTACAAAAGCTTTATTCATTTTTATTTTCAATTGTTACGATAAAAAAGATCTTTATAACAACTAAATAATTATTTATAATCTATAATAGGAAATAAATTAAAACTAGGACTAGGACCGAAACCATAACCAAATTAAAATTAGGTCTGAACCAGGACTAAACCGGAACTGAACTAGAACCTGCAGGACTGAACTTTTACATCCCTAACTGAGTCACACCTCGCAATACCTGACGCGAGCACGCGAGAGTAACACTCCCCTTCTTTATTCCTTACACTACATAATCCTTATTTTGTAACATGTAATGGTCCGGGAAAGTTTATTCTATTTATTTTACATTTATTTTCTCATGTAATATACGATTTTTCACCTTTAAAATAATCAAAAATACTGTATCTCATATGGACATCACAGCGTGACTCCTTATCAACATTATTGTTGCGAACATTTACTTTGGTTGCTAATCTCTTCTAATATTTTTACTATAAAAAAGACATTTAGAAGTTAAATATTTATATAATTTAGCATTATTAGAGACTATCTATTATTGTTAGAAGTTGTACATAGTTTATTTTTTCTCAATATATTTTGATGACGATCTGCCGATTTTTTGAATAAGCGACAGTTGTAAACCTCGTAGAACTAGTTCGTTTGTGCCTTCTTTCCGGAAGCCGTGCCCTACAATATTAGATCCGGGCAGTGAATACTTTAATTTGTCAATGAACGAATACTTTGTGGCCATGCTGCCATCGGCCAGTATTGCAATTCACAGATCGGTACGTTTTGGATAGGATTAGATACTGTGTAGATTTGTGGATTTTTTTTTTTTTAGCAAATGAATCCTTGCAAAAGTGTTGATCACTGATTTATTAAGTTATACTATGAAATTAGGTATAGTTGCCTAATCTTGTTGATACGATACTTTTCCTCCTTAACAATTTCCACAATCACCTGAATATAACCCGTTTATGCTCTGAGAAGTCAGTAAAACATTGTTTCACGAACTTTTAAAAAATCAGACAGTAAATAATGAGTTTAGAGAAGCACTAAGTTTTGTAGAACTTAATTATTACAGTTTCAGTTCATCTGGACGGTAAAAATCCAAAAGAAAAAAAATAGTAAAATAAAGAATGACAAAGGTATAACATAATTACAAAAATCGTGCTTTCCAATAAATTTATTGAATATTTTACAAAAACGCTTATGAATTTTCCTATTGCTCTACGTTGCTCAGGCCTGTTCGCTCACCACAAGAACAAGGGCAAGAGCAACATACTATAATATAATATACAACGCTTTCAAGTTTTACACTACAATTTCTTTTATAAGATTTTCTTGTTGTGGACCAAAGAAATACGACCGCCACAAATCTCTATCCTCAAAATCTGTCAGATTTTTCAGATCTACCAGATCCACGCTAGCTGTAGTACGGGTATCAATCTTCATTGTACGTACTCTACTATACGTAGTTTGGATTATCATGCGTAGTTAGAAAACATGTATATAAGCGACTGTTACTTTGTAAATAATGGAATAGTTTTGATTAATTGCATAATGGTGGATGTTTTTAATAAGACAGGAGTGATATCGATTCTTTCTTCCATCCTCGCTTTTACTTCTCCTTTGATAAAAACAGGAAAAGAATTTAAAGAATGCATTGACAACCCTGAATATTATCTTGACCCTGCACCTCTGTTAGATGATGATGGAGTGTGTCAGGGTCAGGCTTGTCTCCCTTGCAATATAATTATTAAAGTTATGGCTAATTGGGATGATTCTGTTTTTCAAACCATATCCATTGATTTTTCTCTTATCAGTATCGTTTCAGCTTTAAAGTTAATGGCAAAAGAGGTTGAAAAAGAAGGATTTAAGGAGGAAGATCTAGATCAAGAAGCGCGAAAATACTTGGAAGAAAATAAAAAATATTTGGAACTTTTGGCTCCTAGTTCGCCGGCTTTTCTTTCGCTTAAAGTATTGTACTCGTTTGGGAAGAAATTGGGCCACAATATTGGCATTGTCATACGTATAGTTAAGGGCATTGTAGGGTGTATCACGATGCCGATCTTGATAAGTCATTTTAAAGAAGCTAATGGCGATCAAGAGAAATTGGCAAGGATATTTACTGTTGGAGGTCCTATTTTTCAAGATTTTGGCGTTACTGTCTTGACTTTACTTAACTATGTGATCTTGTTGCTTGTACTTTTAGTCAACAAATTACCTACAACAATTTGTCTTTATATCAACTTTATTTCTACAGTGCTTTCTGCTATCTGGGGCCTGTCAATATTAGTTGCAAGTTTATATTTTGTATACGCTAAAATGGGGGATAGAACAGGGCAAATTTTTTTCCCTTGGATTATGCTGGCTCGTACTTTTGGCGTGTTCTGCTGCAATGGGGGTTGTTATATTAATTGTGGGGCTGGCTTTTATGCTGTCGCGAATTTATGGTTTGCTGTTCAAAATGTAATTTTGGCTACTAGGGGTTAATGTTTTAGACCCTAGTGTTGTTCTTTGGAAACCATGAGGGAACCGGTAACTAGGAAATTATATAAAAAAATCCGACAAAAGCAAAAAAATTGGAAATTTAGGAAGTTAATAAATTGGTTAATAAAAATTAGACTATTTACAAAGTGCATAGTGTGACGGGCAAACGGCGAGTCTGTCGCTAATGCCAACAGGGGTTCGCGTAACCGTCACTCGTGATTCTTTAATTAA